TTTAGTTTTAGTAAACGTACGAATAAATAATTTTATTTCCTACACAAGTTAGTTCTATCATCGAGTTGTAGTTTTACGTTTATTACACACACACACACATATACATACATACATACACACACATATATATATATATATATATATATATATACACACACACACAAATAAGTAAAATTCAATAGCCTTCTCCCGCGAAAATCCTGGCAACGCCCTTCCATAGCGTGTTTAATTTTTAAACAAAAACCACACATTTTTTCCCAAAAATCTTCTATAACGTTGTGGTAAACAATAGTTTCTAGAAATTTACGTCGAGTATTGTCCTCATTTTTTTAAAACATATGATAAACCTTACAACAGAAACGATTAAATTCATAAGGATTCTAACGTACATGTTTCATGCGTGCTTGACTGTATGTAGGTAGTCCAATACATAATGTAAATTACAATTATTTATACAGTTATAAAACCACTCCCTTTCGAACGCATGCCTAATTCCGAAAACGGTAGCAAAGCTAATACTAGTGCTTAAAATACGAAATGGTCTCCTCGCATTCCAGTTCTACCGTTTTAAAAGAACCGTTTTTGTTTTTTCTCACTCTAGATATTTTTCACAACAGCACTACAAACAACATTCCTTAATAATTGTTCTATCTCCAGTGCCAGGAAAGGCGTTCTCAGGATTACAGCTTTTAATGTCCTGGATTTTATGTTACCATGCACTAACAGTCTTCAGGTTTTCAGTTACACAGAACATATACACAGGTGACTTAAGACTATTTCCTAATCGAGGTAATGCTACCGATTAATGGCTAAACTAAAAGTTGAATCAACATAAAAAGCTCATATATAAAATGATTATAATTTGAATTATAAAATATACTTCACTTGAGCAACGAAACTGTATTTAACCAAAATAAAACTGAGAATCATAAAATGATAACTATACTATTTTTATATAAGGTAATTTCTTTAGAATCATTGTGCATATAGAAAAATACAAGTACACCGTGCTTCATTCAACATTTATGTGATTAAAAAAATAGTTTGTCACATGTAGTTTATATAATAACTATTATGTATCTTTATGTATAATACTCATTATGGCAATACTAATAATAGCACTACTAAATAACTCAAGTAAAGTTACCTGTTAAGTGTTATTCAGATTTCCTACATGCAACAAATAAAATCTGTTTAATCAACAACTAAAAAGTATATCATAATTTCTATATAAAATAACCAATCAAATACGCTGCCGTTAATTTGTAAAAATCTAAAATGTACGCTAAGCTTACACTAGGCCTACCTCCCTATGATCGTTATTTCCACAGTACATAAAATTATTAGTTACAGTTTTATTAGTAGTATTACGGATTCCAACTTACAAGCGACTTAATGATCTTAACTTAAGTTCGAACTGTTTTTTGACGTGAATGTGAAATTTGAAAAGGGTATATATATATATATATATCTGTGAAAAAAAGAATTAAGTATTTATCTTACCTTTCTTCTTTAAATTAAGACTTCTCTAATTTTCTTGACGTTGAAACTGGACTGCAGTCAAACTACGTGGCTAATTGAATTCAATTTTTTTTACTAATTACTTAAATTAGGCCTACACAAAAGCCCTAGGACTTAGAAAAAGAACATGTTTGTACAACGACGAGCCAAGCACCAGTATTGGATCGTGCAGAAGGCACATGGGTTAGGCCTACAATTCATAAAACATGGAGACACCGTAAAAAGGTGAAACTGAAATCTTCAGCACATTCTCTTTTTTTTCTGCATTTTCATCCTCTCAGTTACCCTAACATTCCTGATGTTTGTATATGTACGTGTATATAAACGAGCACAGCAGTAATTCTGTAGTTTGTTCCCTCTAATCCTATCACACAACGCTTTGCTCAAGCTTCAAGGTCACCTGACTGGTAGCGACCACGCGTTACAGACAATAGAGTACAGATAGTTTCACAGTCGGTGTGGTCGAAAATTCCATGATTAACACATGTCTGCATATTGCTTCACAGAAACACTTTTTGAGTGTAGCTAACGCAACAGATTATTTTTTTTTACTCAAAAATAAGTTGCATAATAAATATTATGCAAATACTTAGGCAATATATCTCTATCGCCACACTGTTCACTTTTGAATTAATCATTCAGTAGCACTACACTGTTATTTTCAAAATATTTTTTGTGATAAGTTAAAAAATGTAAGATACTGTTTTGTAATATAAATTTATACAATTAATGTCTGTTTTTATATGTCACAAGTTTGACCATTAAATGATATTGTTAGTGGTTTGATTCATGCAAACATTGATAAGTCACATTTTTTTAACTTAAATACCTTAGCTTTAAAAGGAATCACTAATTTAATGAGAATCTATAGTAAGCAAATTAACTTTCAAATACTGTTCAAGTTAACGGATGTTGTAATCTTGTTTTTGCATCTCTCACAACAGAATTGAACCCCTAACTTCTTTCACGCCAAACACATTTCTCTACACCGAGCATTAGGATTAATCACTGCTTATTCGAAGTAATACGCTTTTTGACTCAAACATTCACACGAGTACAATTATGATTACTTTGAGATAAATTTTCCATTTTAATAGTTAGAAAAAGCAAATCTTCAGTAAACTGTGATGTTGAATTGTGAAAATAAGTGAGCTCTTGTGATTTAACTATTTAATAGCTAGCACTTGTTGTTTACAATGACACTGTAAGTCAACTGTTAATCTCAGAATAATTCCGGCCAAGCGGGCCTAGTACCTAATGTATCAGATGACTGTAAAGTTCCGAGATTAGAGATGTGATGCCGCTTAACCCGCTAGCACTAAGCTGTGGGTGCGTTATAAAAGTGACAGCCAGACTGTTATTCGTTTCGAAGAGCCGGACAAAGTCTTAATGACGGCCCATGCTGTTGGCTGACTCTTGTCCGTTGGTCATTAGTTCAAAATTGGGGATGATATACCTGAATCTTCCAATTCAAATCCAAAGGAACCCAGCTGAAAGCCTAGTACACAACAATGCTTTAAAATGCATTTCCACTATTGCAGCTGTGAATAAGTTTAGATTTGCTCCCATGAAAATTCTGATATTCTACAAAAAGAAAACGTTAATATTTTATACCAATTTATATTACAAGTATACTTGTCATAAAACATTAGCATTAAGCCTATTACATTTTAAATCTAATCCGTTAGGGATTTTCAAGCATTGGAAGAGTGTATAATAATAGTATTTCAATCACACTATATTTGTCTTATCCACTTCCGACGACGCGTTTCGCTCAGTCCAGAGCTCTTCAAACGGGCTGGCATCAACAAACACAAAAGTGGTCGGTTTGTTTGTTTGTAATTAAGTACAAAGCTACACAATGGGCTATCTGTGCTCTGCCCACTACGGGTATCAAAACCCAGTTTCTAGCGTTGTAAGTCCGCAGACATGCCGCTGTGCCACTGGGGGGCTCAAAAGTGGTCGGAACATTATTTATATAAAGTCATTTCATAAAATAAGAATTGTTATGGCGTGTACGCCTTTTACAAGCTGGCGAAGAATGATTATAATTATACTTGTCATAAGACATTATATTAGACCGATTACATTTTCAAACACTACATTCTAAATCTAGTCCCTTTTTTCAAGAATTATATACTATTTTGATTCTTGAAAATTCCTAAGATATTAGATTAAGAATGTAGTGTTTGAAAATATAATATAATTATAATCATTCTTCACCAGCTTGTAAAAGGCGTATATACCATAACGATTCTTAATTTCAGTTATCAGTTTCCTTTGTAAGTTGTAGGCAGAAACAAGAGAAAGAGACAGAGCTTAAAAATCAGTCAGGCATAGCGTTTACTGTATGTTTGCGTATATTAGTATGACTTACTCTTTATTCGAAACATGCAAACATGATAAAACTGATAATTAAGTCTTAACGGTGTAATGATAATAATGATGATTTTATTGTTGTTGTTCTTTAATCAGATATTCGCTCTGTTACGTATTAACATTTCAAATAGCCTGAAACTGAGTTAACTGATAAATTAAAATAAAGTAGTTAAATTGTACTTTAGATTTAGCAGTTAAGTGAAAGTC